ATAGGAAGAAGCTATATAATATTAATGTTAAATTTTTATCCGTCAAAGATAATAATAATAATAATAATAATAATAATAATAATAATAATAATAATAATAATAGTGACGACATCAATCATAATCCAACCGTCTTAAACCTAACTTAAATTCAGTTCTTATAGCAAAGCCAACTTATATATGTTTCATTAATTTATACGACAAAAAGAAGTTAACATATAAAAAAATAAATCACAATGCAATAACAATACAAATTATAAAGGAAATGCCAAACTTGATATACGAGTATGTTCCCATTGTCCTTAATGTTTTAGGTTATTAAGGTGTCTGCAGGTGTCCCGTTTAGCCTTAGGCAGCTCAACGTCCTTTAAATGTGTTTCCGCCTCACACTGAAGGCTTTAGGCGAGAGATTATCCACTATAGTAACCATATTAATTGTGGCATACTATACTAACATTATCATCATGCTTGTAACATATTTCTGGAGCATCATACTTCCTTCATGTCAATATATGCATCGAATGATTATGCTACTTCTTACCTGTGGGGTGAGGACTAATTAGGTTCAGAACTTACCTGTTGTTTACTTTTGGCGATGGGAGTGGTTGTGCAGCTTATCTCACTCACACTCTGATACTCTCTCTCTCTCTCTCTCTCTCTCTCTCTCTCTCTCTCTCTCTCTCTCACCTGCAGTGCCTCGACCACCTCGACTGAAGCCTTGCGCTCCTTCTCGTTGGCCTTGGAGGGGTCAGCGATGGACGCCTGTCGCTCTCGTAGTTGGGCCAGTGCCTCTGCATGTTGCCGCTCCAACTCCCGCCGCTTGTCAGCAGCATCTTTCATTTGCTGCGGGGAGGAACACACGACCTTGTTGCGCGCCTTTAAGCAGTGTGGGACCATCTGTGAGTCCCTTAAAGAGGTTTCAGGTCACCTACAGGGATTGTCAAGTTGCTACAGGTTGATCGCTAAACGTCAGCAGCGGAAGGAGTACATATTATACTTGTGTTCTGGAGTCCTCACAGGGTCCATAGAGGAATATTTACATCCCTTAAGGAGACAGAAGAGTCCTACAGGAACCTATGGGATGTTTAACTCTTCATTCTATTACAGTCATCTCCCGCCGATGGTTAGCAGTGAATATCATCTGCTGCAGGAGGAACCCACGACCTTCTTGCGCTCTAAAGCAGCCTACTGATTCCTAAAGGGAGCTGACGGGCATTCACAGCACATACAAATACTTTAATATAATAACCTACAAATCCCCAAAGGGCTTTTATGCCCTTACAGAAGTCCCTGGCCCTTAAAAGAGGTTACACATCCTTACAGATGTTTACAGATACCTATAAGAGTTTACAACTCTCTACACTTGTCTTCAGGACCGTAAGAAAGTCTAAATATACTTGAGTTCCTGTGAATCCAAAAGGTGGTTTTCAAAGAAGAATGTGGGTGTGTCCATAAGCTTATAATACTTTAAAAGGCCTTAAAACCCTTAAGTAACCTACAGTGAAATAATTTAGGTCTTTAAAGGAACCTTACAGTACATCCCACGATGAAGTTCACAGTATTAAAGAAGCCTACAGGTCCTTACAGGTCTCTACAGGTCCATACAGGTCTCTACGGGTCCATACAGGTCTCTACAAGTCCATAGAAGTTCCTTCATAGTGTTGCTGCATAATTTACGTTCTTTATGTTAATATAAATACATAGAGGATTCTTTCAGCTAATGAATGTTCTTTATATTTGCCTGTAGATCGCATTAAGGTCAAGTTGTTTATGTGTGTATGTATGTAGGTATGTATGTATGAACGACACACACACATACACACACACACACACACACACACACACACACACACACACACACACACACACACACTACACATACACACACACACAAATGCTGGCGTGGTACAGTAGCTTACATCAATATGCGTGCCAAAAGGGTAATGTGTTTATGTACCTGTGTAGGAGCGTGTGTGTGTGTGTGTGTGTGTGTGTGTGTGTGTGTGTGTGTGTCGAAGCATTAGAGCGAGAGCTAGACATAAAGCATCATCATCGGGCGGTAAACAGTTAGACATTAAGACAAACAGACAGACAAACACCCAGACAGAGAGACAGACAGACAGAGAGACAGACAGAGACTCTCCGTAGAACATATTAGCTAGCAGCGACGGACCACGGGGACACGACACACGGTGGTAAGGGGGGAGACACCAAAGGGAAGGGCGTTAGTTAAGGGGAGGACTGCTAGGGGGAGAGGGGAGAAGGTTGCCAGAGGGGGAAGAAGACTATCTGGGGAGGGGAAGGGGGAGGGTAAGAAGATTCTAAAGGGGAAGTGGGAAGAGATAGCAGTGAGGGGAGGAGGGTGTGTGTAGACCGTAAAGAAAGAAAGAAAGAAAGAGAGAGAGAGAGAGAGAGAGAGAGAGAGAGAGAGAGAGAGAGAGAGAGAGAGAGAGAGAGAGAGAGAGAGAGAGAGAGTATATGTCACACAGGTAGATATATGAATTAGACAAATTTAAAGAATTATCAATAAAAATAAAATATTAATGAAAGGGAAACTTATTTAACTTCTAACTAAAGGAAGAAAAAGTTATATTGAGGTTAATCAAGAAAAAAAAGACATTAAAACACACGAAATATTTGTATGATAATGAGGTATAAATAAGGAAAAACGACACACAAACACAATCATAAAGCAAACACGACTCTGAATGGGTTAGGTGAAACAGGTGATATTTGAGAGGGTGATTTGAGAGGGTGATTTGAGAGAGGTGGTAAATCACACAACGACTTTAAAGGGCAGATACACGAACAATCAACAAGGGTAAAGCTTAAAAGGTCACAACGAAAGGTACGACTGTCTTCTTGTTTGGTTGAGTGAGGGAGGGAAGGGGGGAGCGAGGGGAAGGGGGGAGTGAGGGGAAGGGGAGGAGGGGGAGGATAAGGGAGGGGAGGGAAGGAGGAGGAGAAGGAAGAAATCAAAGGAAGGGCAAGAATCAGGAAGGAGGGAGAGGAAGGGGGAGGGATGAGGGACGGAAGAGGGATATGGGTCGATCAATCAAGGGAGAAATTGGGGGAAATCCACCAAGGACTAATTAAGGGCGAATTTCAGCAACATGTAAGGACAACTTTAAAAGCTAACATGGGGAGGGAGGGGGAGGGAGGGGAGATGGAAGGAGGGTGTGGAGGGAGGAGGGCGGGAGGAGGGGCGGAGGGAGGGCGGGAGGAGAGAGGGAGGGAGGGAGGGGAGGGAGGAAGGGAGGGGAGGGAGAGAGGGAGGGAGGGAGGGAGGGAGGAAGGAGGAGGGAGGGAGGAGGGAGGAAGGGGGAGGGAGGGGGGAGAAGTTCATGACTTGAGCAATAATACTCACAATCAGGACGGTTTCGAGATTGCTGCCCCCCCTGGGCCTCGCACCGTCTGCCAGCCCGTACACATCTTCAAGCTGACCTCATCAATCCCCAGGTGAGATGGTGACGCCATGGGTGGTGCAACGCGACACAGGTAGGTACGGGGATGACGTCATAGGATGGCATGGTATGACGTCATTGGATGCAACGCGATGGAGGAGAAGGGGGGAGGGAAGTGGTGATGGCAGGCGCAACGTAACGGATGATGGGAGAAGGAGAGAGAGAAATAGAGAAAGAGAGAAAGAGAGGAAGAGAGGAAGAGAGAACACGCAGTTTAAAAACAACGGTTATATTGGGTCATTGCTTGTACAAAACAACTGTCACAACAGGTCAGTGAGGGAAATGACCAGGTGTCAACACGGGCTAACGAATGTTTTGGACAAGTTCACAGCTGGTGAGACTGGACTGGGCTAAACCACAGCTGGTGGTAAACAGATGGCGAGATTATTATGGTCATGAAAATTACGAATGAGAATGATAAGAGAAGGACTTAGCAATCCTGGTGGACTGAATGACACACAGGTAAAAAAGGGTTAATTAATCACACACACACACATATATATAATCATAGAGAATTAGAAAGAAATAGAAAGAGGGAGAGAGAAACAAAGAAACACAGTGAAAGAAGCAAATGGAGATATGGAGAAAAGAGAGAATAAAAACCATTATGAATATAAAGAGAACAAGACAGACAGACAAAGACAGACAGAGACAGACAGACAGATAATAGACAGCAGAGACAGAGGCACCATAGTACAACCAACAATATGTTTATTAAATACCTTAGAAAAATATCAATATTCTATAAAATACTCGACCAATAAACATCTTCAGAATTTATCCCTATATAAACACATTAAAAGAATCATAAACATCTTTCAACATTTTATAACATACTTGAGAGATAAAGAACATCAACATTATTATAAACACATGAATCATAAACAATTTCTTGCATTTATATAAACACACAAAGAAGCCATAAACATCTTCGGTATTTATATAAACACATTATAAGATATGGACAAGTAACATCATAAATATATTTCTATTTACTCAAAGGCAAAGAAGTATTTTAGCTTAAATAGTCATACCTGCCTTTACCTTGTGTGTGTGTGTGTGTGTGTGTGTGTGTGTGGAGGAACTGATACCATACTCTCCGTTCCCTTGATAAATATATACACAAAAACTCCTTCACACAACCCGCCATTCTTGATCTTACTTATGGATTATTATTTTTTTTTTGGGGGGGGAGGGGTTAAACCTGATAAGGGATTAAATACTCTGCACAATAAGTCGCTTAAATCAGATCACGATCAAATCTTAATCGCCTTTCTTTATGCTCCTTTAACTTTATTGACTTATATTAGTAAAAAGTGACAAATATTTCAGAATTATGTAAAAAAAAATAGGAAACGGGTCTAAAAGGGAAGAATAAAGCACAAATAAGGGGAAAAATGCCTAAATAAGGGAACAAAAGCCTAAATAAGGTGAAAAGGGGCCTGAATAAGGAAAAAAGGCCCAAATAACGGAAAAAATGCCCAAATAACGAAAAAAATACCCAAATAACGGAAAACCCAAATAACGGAAAAAAGACATAAACAAAGGAAAAATACCTAACACGAAAAAAGGACTAAAAAGGGAAATAAGTCTTAAGAAGGCCAAAAGGGTTAAAAATGAAAAACAAGGTCTTTTAATCCTTATGACAATTTAAATTTTATATTTCTATCATTACTATTTTTATTGTTCTATAAGGAAGACAAGGAGAAAAAGAAGAAAGACATAAGATGAAGACCAAAGAGAAGGGAAGGAGACATGGGAGAAGAAAGAGACATAAGAGAAGACAATGAGACATGAGAGAAGACAATGAGACATGAGAGAAGGCAATAAGACATATGAGAAAAGCCAGACATATAAAAGAAGACAAGAGACATGAGAGAAACCAAGAAGACACAGCAGAAATAGTTAAGACATGTAAGAGAACGCTAAAGAAGAGGACAAGAGGACATTTAAAGAGAGAAGGCACAAAGACATGAGAGAACGTAAGATTACATAAGATAACTAGACAAGACATTGAAGAAGACATGGGAAAAGACGATAAGAAAGTCAAAAGACAACAAGAGATTTAAAAAAAAAAAGACAGAGAGAGATGAAGAGAAAGCGAAAGGTGGAACTAAGAGAAATACAATGACAATATACAGCCTCAAACAGGGACCGTAAAACTCCAGAGTAAAGTTGGTGTAGCCTTCTCTCTTCTCTCTCTCTCTCTCTGTCTCTTCTCTCTCTCTCTCTCTTCTCTCTCTCTCTCTCTGTCTCTTCTCTCTCTCTCTCTCTCTCTCCTCGTCTGTCTGTCTGTCTGTCTCTTCACCCACAATACTGTACATCCATACTCCACCTTAGACTTCCTTCCAGTGTTTCCGTCTGTCTGTCTGTCTGTCTGTCTGCCTCTACGTCCACACTACATCCACATTTTACCCTTACACCTCCTCTTAGTGTGTGTGTGTGTGTGTGTGTGTGTGTGTGTCTATATCCACACTCCACCTTTAGACGTCCTACCAGTGTGCGTCTCGCTCTTTCTACACCCACACTACATCCACATGTTACACCTACGTTACACCCACACACCCACACACCCACACACCCAACACCCACATTATAAAATAAGATGTCGTAATTTGATAACATTATTGGATTTTCCTATAATTTGGAATAAACCTAAAAGAATGAATGAAGTCCGGCAGAAAAAGAAAATATTAATCTGATACCTAAAAATCTGTAACCTAACCTAACCAAACCTGACCAATAAATCCAGGGTAGGTGTGCCATTTATACAAGAACTAAAGTAAAAGAAAATGATAATCAGATGAAATTTAAGGTATAACCCCCCCCAAAAAAACCCTAAAATATTGAATATGTTATCGCAATCAATCTATACCCTTTGCCTTAAAAAATAAACCCGAGCGTAAAAAAAAAAAAAATCCTCAATCTTTAATTTTTTTTAGGGAAATCGACTCGTTAAACCAACCTGAAAAACAATATAAGGGTTTTAATACCGCTTCCAGAACACGAGACAATGAGCCTTACGAGAATAGCACTATATTACACCCCCTCCTCTCTCTCCGCCAGCCACCTAATTCTCACCTAGTCTTGTTCATGAGGCAGCGGCGGGTCTCTCTTATAATGAAGGTAACTAATTAAAACACTCTCATGTAATTTTTAAAGGGGAAGGGTCTTGGTTGGTTAGAGAGAGAGAGAGAGAGAGAGAGAGAGAGAGAGTCTGTATGTGTGTTTTTGTTGGGTTTGGTTTTCTTGTTATGTTTTCTTGTTATACTGGAATATAATCGTGTTAAAAGAAATTTTTTTTTTAATAAAGATATTTGTTCTTGTTATGTAATTATGTTCTTGCTATACAGAAATATATAGTGTCCCAGAATAATGTCTTTGCCTTCCTCTCTGCCTGTCTGTTCCTTGCCTCCTTCCCTCCATGCTCCCTGCCTTCCTCCCTGCCTCCTGCTCTGCCTCCTCTCTGCCTGTCTGTTCCTTGCCTCCTTCCCTCCATGCTCCCTGCCTTCCTCCCTGCCTGCTCCCCGAGACACTGTAGGTAAGAAAGAGGGAGGCAGGGGGCAGGCAGGGAGCAGGTAGGCAGGGAAGGAAGGCAGAGAGGGAGGAAGGCAGAGAGGGAGGGAGGCAGAGAGCAGGCAGGCAGGCAGGCAGGGAGGAAGGCATGGAACATTTTTCTTGGACACCCTATATAATAAACTTCACACTGTCCCAAAAGCATTGTTGGACGAGTCTCTACCTTCAGCCATCGTTCTTATAGGAAAGGCTCTTAAAAGATATAGAATTAATATAGAATTATAGGTTATATAATGAAAACAACCGTAAAAGAACCGTAGAAAAACCATAGAACCATAATAGCACAGAACCATGAAAAATAAAGAACCGTAAATGAACCGTAAGTGGGACTCCAACTCACCCGAAGTACAGACTCCAGGTTGCCGACTTTTCCGTCTAAACTTCCGACCTGAACCTTGGCTGTCGACCAGTCTGTTTCCACTTGGTTGAGTGTGTGTTTCAGCGTCTTACACTCCTCGCTGACCTGCCCGGGGGTAGAGAAGGGGAGATTAGTAAACATGGGTAATATTGGGGGAGAGAACAGGGGAGGGTAGATTAATAAACATGGGTAATAAGAGATACAATGTGGGAGAACAAGGGGGAGAGGAGAGGGGAGGAGTGACACAAGAGGGAGAGAACACGGGGGAGAGGAGAATAGTAAACATTGGTAAAAAATATCAGGTTTGAGGAGACGAAGACAAACATAAAGAGTACAATTGATAAAGATGAGAATAAGGAGAAAGACAAATAATAATAACGTATGGAAATAAAATAAAGGTAATAATGTAATAAGTAGAGAGGTGATAAAACACGAGGAAAATGTTAACTAAAGATGGAAATAACGAAGAAGGTAATCAAAGAAAAAATACAATCAATAATAAAGATGATAATACTGATGTAAAAAATAGATACATGATGGAAATAATGAATAAAATGATAATTGTGAGGATGATACAATTGATAATAAAGATGACGATAAGAGAAAAAAATACGAAAACAGTAAATTATTCAGTTAATAGTAAAAAATAATACCAAATATGACGATAAGAAGTGAAACTGAAAATAAGAAAATCTAATAATTCATAAATTGTGTTAAGAGAAAATAGGGAAAAAATACAAAGGTGATAATAAAGAGAGTGAATAAATTAATGGTGAATTAATGCTTAAGTGAATGCAAGAGAGGATTCAAGATTTAATGTATGAGTGAATGTATGAATGTATGCTTCAGTGAATACATGACTGGGTGTATGAATGAGTGTATGAATGTATGCTTGAGTGAATGTATGAAATATTACATGAGTGAATGTATAATAATGATAATAATAATAATATTAATAATGATGATTATAACGATAATAATAATAATAATAATAATAATAATAATAATAATAATAATAATAATAATAGCATAATTAACACCTATAAACAAACATACAGACACTGGAAAGAAATACATAAATAACAACTGCAAAGAAATTTTATTTTACAAGAAGTATTTAACACCTTTTATTTTCTCTTCAATTGTGACAAACATGTTATAATTTTAAAAAAAAGTCGCCATTACAATAACAAGACGAACAAATAACAAGAACATAATAACAAAGTACAAGACAGTTCACCTTTTTGTATTAAGAAGAACAACAACAAACAAAAGAACATTCAACATCTTGAGGAGCAATAACACCCCCCTCTCCTGTGTTATTATCGACTGGGTACATTTCTCAGCTGTCATAAATTGTAAGGCGAGTGAGCGGCGTGTGACAGCAATGACGTCATCACCGGGGCTGGGGGTGGCTGAGTGACGTCATGGGGCGGCGACCTGCGTTTGAGAGACCTCCTCCCACCCACTCAACCCTTCGGCATTTTAGTACCAATGATCATCTGTCATGGGGAAGGTACTCACCACAGATCTATTTTCGACTCTAATATTTTTGCCTTATTTTCCCCCGTTTTCAATATTTGGGATTTTTTTTTAAATGATTTTTGTTTATTTTATTTTAGTGAGATTAAATTAGTGTATAATTTTCTTATATTATATTTCATCGTTTTTAATGAATTTACGCTTTTTTTTTTATCTAAGAGTAAGAACATTTTGCCTGAAGATATATTCAATCCTAGAAAACTGATAACAAGAATAAGTAGAAGAATGATAATAGAAGAATGAAGGAAGAAGAAAGTAAAAATAAATAAGAAAATAGAAGAAAAACGAAGAAATAAGAAGCTGATAAGAAAGAAGAATAAAGAGGAAAAACAAGAATGAAAAAGAAATGGATTAAGAGACGTAGGAAGAGAAAAAGAAGAAGGAGGAGAAGGGGGAGGAAGAAGAGGAAAATAAGAAGAAAGAAAGAAAAAAAGAAAGAAAGAAACAAACAAACAAAGAAAATAATAACAACTTTACTCCAACTACCATCAAAAAACAAAATCAACAACAACAACAACAATATTTTGACCCAGCTGAATATCATTGCGTCATCAAGATGGTTTTGGACATGTTGACTACAAGGTTTGATCCGGTGAGCCGTGAAGGTCTCATAAGAACCAAGTACTTCACTGGCCTAGTGGATAAGTTGGCTTGAGACATGATCTTGAGACCCAGACAAGAGGGTTCGACCCCCCCCATCCAGGGGGAGAGAGGTGTGGAGGGGGTAGGGGGGTCACTAACCGCGTCAATAGTCGACACAGGAGAGAGAGAGATATGGAGAGTGAGAGAGAGCAGACGAGATAGGACGAGTAAGGGAGAGAGAAATATGTATATAGAGAGAGAAAGAGAGAGAGAGAGAGAGGGGGAGAGAAAATCGTAGAGAGAGAGATAGAGAGAGAGAGCAGACGATATTGGAATAGAGATATATATACAATACCAACAGACTATGTGTGAGCATGAAGGTGAAAATAAAATATAAAAATAAAGTAGAAACAAAATAATAATAACAATAATAAAGAACAGGAAGGAAGTAGTAATAATAGAAAACGGAAGAGGAAACGATAAAAAAAAGAAAGATAAAACACGAAAAAGAAAAACAGACAAGGGAGAAAACATTTAGATAAACCAGTTAGAGAAAGCAAGAGATAAACAAGGGAAAATAAAAAGAATAAAATAAATAAATAAATACCGGAATCCGAGACACAGAAAGATGAAAGAAAGGTAAAAAAAAAAGTTAGGACGAAAATAGAACCTGGAAAAGCCGAGATAAAAATAGAGAGCATGGTGGAGAAAGTATGTGTGTATAGGTTAGGTTAGGTTAGGTTAGGTTAGGTTAGGTTAGGTTAGGTTAGGTTAGAGGCCAAAACAAAAACAGAACAAGAGTAAACAAAATAAATAAGAGAAAGGAAATAATTTAAAAGAGGAAAGAAATTAGAAAGAATAGAAAAACAAGACGATAAACTAAAAGAACAAAAGGAAACTGAAGAAAAGAAGAATAAAAAGGAGAAACAATAGATAGATAGAAAGATAATGAAATATAAATGGAGTAAGAGAAGAAAGTAAAATGGAAGATAGAACCAAAGAGGAAAATAAGATAAAGAGAAAAAAAGAAAAAAAGAAAGAAGGGAATGATAAAATAAAGTAAAAAAAAAATGACATACCAACAAAAAAGTAAAAGAAAACAAAAAACAATGAGAGAATACTGAATAAAAGAGACGAGAGACGAAAGTACGAGGAAAGGAGAGAGAGAGAGATCGAAGAAGATAAAACATGATTTAGAGACAGACATAAAAGGAAAAGAAAACAGAAAGAATGTAAGAGAAAAAATGAGAAAGATAAGAACAAAAATAAAGCACAAAAATAGTAATGGAGGAAATAAATAAATAAATAAATAAATAAATAAATAAATAAATAAATAAAAAGTAGGATAAAAGAGAAATATATGAAAGGAAAAACAAAATAAAACAAACAGGTAACAATAACAAATTAAAACATTATCTTGCCCCACGAAACATTACCACAGAGCAAATATTAAACTAGTGACATTAATATTATAATTTAATTTAGTCATCACTGAAGACTGTCTCATATCATCGTTTTCTTTAACTTCCGTAAAACTTGGTCGATTTTGGTGCGAGTTATTCTGGACACACACACACACACAAGGTCCACCACAACACACACACACAAGGTCCACCACAACACATCGACATTCATTTATGGGCAGGATAACAATAGCAAGTCGAGGGAATGTGAGAAAGAATAGAAAGTAAACACGAAGAGCGAGAACGAAATAGAAGAATAACGAGAGCAAAAGTATATAACGATTGAGGTAATGGAAGAAAAAGTACATCTTAAGTGTGAAAGTGGAGAAAAGAAAGCAAGCAAAAGAAAGAGATGGTAAAGAAAGCAAAAGTCATTTCTCCTAAGAACCACCAGACAAGTGGGGGGGTGGGAGGCAGCCACCCAGTGACGTCAAGCACTTAACAGCCCAACTAGCTCCCCATCGTTACGCCCCGGTAAGGGTGTCACAACAACGAGGTCCAGGTTAACTATCTCTCTCGCTGAGTGACTCCCACAAGTCACTCACATTATAATTCGCCATGATGAATCGGAGACGTCACAAGTCAACAAATTACGTCACGAGTAAACAAATGACTGCCAGTAGTCATCCGGATTCCTCTGTACGAACGCAACAATGGACGCTGGAGAGGCACCATAATATTCCATGATAAAAGTGACGCACGTACACACACGCCCACACGTCCCAGGGGCAAGAGATACGGTAAGAAGACACCGAGTGAGATAAAAGACAAAGAACGAGGTGATAGAGCGAGAGATAAGAGATATAATGGAAGAAGGATGAGACAGGTAAATGAGAAGGAAATATAAAGTGACGGAAAAGAACAGGAAGGAAACAGAACAAGAAAATTTCGAATAAATATATACATAGAAAACTCGACCAATACAGTTGTTAGAGAACTTAAAACATATATAATTAGTGTCACACCTACGGAGATATAAGCAGCAAGCCCACATGACCGCAGGTACAGTCATAGAACATAGCGCTACATAGCCTTTGTCACAGAGCCAGAGTCCCCGTAGAGGCAGAAAGGGAGAAAGAGAAACAACAAACTGGAGGCACAGAACTAGAGCCTTGAGCCACAATAGAGCCCTGAGGTACAGAATTAGAGCCAGAGACACTTTCATCAGAAAACCACAGTACTACAGAGCCATGAAGCCTAAGCCGTAGGGAGTGGAACAACTGAGCCATAGAGCAAACTGGGAGTGCCGGCGTGCTTAGAGTGCCTGCTGGAGCCTGGCACTCTGATCAATACGCCCTCCAACCCCGGCTCTAGTGGCACTACTCTCCCTGCTACTACTCCCCTACTACTACTCTCTCACACATTTCTCCTGGCTTTTCTCTCCCTGGCACTATTCTCCCGGCTTTTCTCTACCTCTCTCCTGCTTTTCTCTCCTGGCACTACTCTCCCCTTCCCCGGCACTTTTCTCTCTGTTTTCTCTCCTGTGCTTACTCTCCCTGGCACTCTCTCCCTACTACT